CCAATCTAAAACCCCCCTGGTGCAGCTTGAGGCCGTTACCTCTTGTCCTATCACTTGCTATTTGGGAAAAGAGACCTCACTACAACCTCCATTCAGGCAGTTGTAGAGAGCGATAAGGTTCCACTGAGCCTTCTTGAGACTAAATCCCCCGTCCCGTCCCTCAGCCATTCCCCATCACATTTGTGCTCCAGGCCCTTCACCAGCTCCATGGCCTTTCTTTGGCCCCACTCCAGCACCTCAATGCCTCTCCTGTAGTGAGGGGCCCAGAACTGAACAGAGGATTCAAGGTGCAGCCCCACCAGTGCCCAGTACAGGGGATGATCACTGCCCTGCCCTGCTGGCAACACCATTGCTGATACAGGCCAGGATGCTGTTGGCCTTCTTGGGCACCTGGGCACAAGCTGCTCATGTTCAGCAGCATCAGTCAGCACCCCCAGGTCCTTTTCTGCTGAGCAGCTTCCCAGCGGCTCTTCCCCAAGCCTATAGTGTTCCATGGAGTTGCTGTGGCTCAGATGCAGGACCCAGCATTTTACATTGTTCAACCTCATATTACTGGCCACAGCCCATTGATCCAGCCTGTTGAAATTCCTTGAAGAGTACTGAGCCTTCCTGGACCCCTTTGTCCTTCAGTGATATTTCCCAAGGAATTCTGCCAGTCAGCATCCTAAACAGGCCAAAGTCAAACCTCCAGAAGTCTACGGTAAAGGTTTTGCTGACTTTCCCCCTGACTTCTCCAAGGACAGAAAATTCAACCATTTCATGATTGTTTTGCCCAAGTGTCGTGGTTTAAACTCAGAGACACAGTCTCTCTCTCACTACCGCCTTCCTCCCCCCCGACTGCCAGAGGGATGGGGAGGAGAATCAAAAGAATGGAACTCCCATGGGCTGAGAGAAGAACAGTCCAGTAACTAAGGTATAACACAGATCACTGCTGCTGCCACCAATAATAATAATGATAAAGGAAATAACAAGGGAAGAGAATACAACTGCTCACCACCCACCGATCGATACCCAGCCTGACCCCAGCAGTGACCTAGCCCTTCTGGGTAACTGCCCCCAAAACTGGGGCATGACATGCTGTGGTATGGAATACCTCTTTGGTCAGTTTGGGTCAGGTGTCCTGTCTCTGCTTCTTCCTGGCTTCCCCTCCTCCCTGGCAGAGCATGAGACCCAGAAAGACCTTGGTCAAAGTAAACATTACTGAGCAACAACTGAAAACATCGGTGTTATCAGTGCTGTTTCCAGGCTGAAAGTCAAAAATACAGCACTGCACCAGCTACTAAGAAGGAGAAAAATGACTGCTACTCCTGAACCCAGGACACCAAGACAGCCTCCAACCATCACATTACTCACCAGTCCTCTGTTGTGAACAGCAAAGCTAGGCAGACATCTCCCCTAGCTGGCTCACTAACCAGCTGGGTTAGGAAGTTATCTTCCACACCCTCCAAGAACCTCCTGGATTGTTTCTTCTCTGCTGTGTTGCACTTCAGCAGACATCTAGTAGGTTGAAGTCCCCCATGAGAATAAGGTCAAGTGATCATGAAACTCTCTCAGTTGTATGAAGAACAGTTTATCCGTAGCTTCATGCTGGCTAGGTGATCTGTAACAGGCTCTACCAGGATATCAGCTTGGTTGGCCTTCCCCCTGATCTTCACCCACAAACATTCAGCCTTCTCACTCACAACATTGAGTTGCAGGCAGTTGATGCACTCCCTGATATACAACGCAACCCCACAACCTCTTTTTCCTTGCCTATCTTAGAATCATAGAATAATTAGGGTTGGAAAGGACCTTAAGATCATCTAGTTCCTTTCTGAAGAGCCTGTAGCCAAATGTTTCTGACAACCTGCTAATATCAAAAGGAAGTATGCCAGCCACAAGTGAGCCAGTGAGCCAGGGAATAGAGTAAATCCTGGCACAGAATGAGGCAACACAGGTGGGAAGGAGGAATGAAATTCCAAAACATTTCTGGGGCTTCTAGTACGGCACTGTATACTTTAATGCAGTGCAGCAGAATATTTGAAGGGAATTCCAGCTGTTGTCCAACTGAAGAATGACACAGGATCATAGGGAAATTCAGGACGGCTGGGACTTTGGGAGGTGAGCTATGAGGTCAAGACCAGGTTATTCAGGGATTTAGCCACATCTTCTAATGGTGAAGTGAGAAGAGATGTTTCAGGCCACTGAGGAACTCTATCAGGATGCATCACACAACCTTCAGCCCATTCTTTGGCCTCCTTTTCCAAATGGATTAAACAAGAAAATGAGACAAACAGTTTCTGTTGACTCCCCAGATGAAATGATTTTACTTTCAAGGGCTTTTACTTAATCATTACCAAGAATAAATGATGTCCTGGAGGCTTTAGCAGATTCATTCTCTCAATCTACCCTCAGTTTTCAAAAGTTGAGAGGTTTTTTTCCCCTCAGACTTAAATTGTCTTGCTCACATAAAATCTGAGAGCAGTGTTTGAACTAAGGTTATCAGGTTGGACCAGTGTTCAAGATCAGAGTCCCACCATTCCACAGTGGTATGTGGACATTAAAAGAGTCAAGTCCTGAGTAGATATGTACTGATCATGCCATACCTATGCAAATGCCAGCAAATAGCTGTGAGGTTGCATGTCTCACAGGTACCAAGTCAAAGTGTTTTCAGATAGCATTCCTTCCCCACTACTGCACATGGCAAATAATGAAAACATTCACAAATGATCTAAGGGAAGATTCAGGCCACCAAAGACACAACTAAAATTAAACCCAAAGACACAAGTCAGTTCAAAAGGGGTTATTACTGCTTTCAGAAAATCAATTAATGTAATTTCTGCCCACAAAAGATAGCTGAAGATAAGCAGAGCCACTTATTCCCCTCTCCCCATCTATTTTGTGATCTCCCACACTCATTGATCAGTACTTTTGTAGGGTTCTGCACTTCAGACAGAAGTTTTGTTCCTTGCTTTCCCAGGACCTCTTCATAGGCTGTGATAAAAAGGGAATAATTTTAGAGATCAAATTGAGAGTTTTAAGGATTGCAAAGGGCTCTTATGATTGCTTCTGCTCCAGCATACCCATGTTTTACAGTCCCTTTTATGCAGAACTAAAATAACCTGAAAAGGTGGTCATTGATTAGAATAAGGGTCTTGAGTTCTCTGGTGTGAAATTATTGCGCCACCCAAAAGGAATTCCTGGCAGTCATCATATACAGAATATTTTCACCTGTATTTATTTGGGAGGAAATCTGTGGTCAGGACTGGTCTTGCTTCCCTATAATGGCTCTTTAGATTCAGGCATGGTGCAGGGTAGCTTGCCTAGGGTTTGGAAATACCGCACTGCCCTTATTTTATAATTACACATAGATCAGCACACAAGTGAGGTAAAACTGATGCCTTGTCCACAGGACCTTGTTGTGAAATGAACTGCAAACACTACTTTATCTCAAAGAGCTTGTTCAAGGAAGTTATTGCCATGCTAAAGAGATAGATACTACTGAAACATCACAATTTGAAAAATACAGCTATTTCCAAACCCTGTATTGCCATACAGGATAGAAGGCAGTGCGAATGGATTGTACAGTAAAAGAAATTGTCCCAGAGGCTCAGCACTGCTCTCAGTGTCTGGGATCTTATGAATTAGTTAAAACCTAAGGAACTTTGAAGCCAAAGCACTTCAGTGAGGTCTGATAAATCTAATAATCCACAAAATCTATACCTAAACACAGTAGCACAGAGCAGATAGTAAAGACTAGATACTCACCTGGCTATCCAAGAACAGAACCAGAAGGTTGAGAAGACATCCTAGCATTTGTAATTCATAGTACAGCAGATACTGGTAACGTACATCAAAGAGCTCTGGTCTCCACCTCGCTATGTCATAAATCTATATGACAACTCACAGACTACAATTAGAAGAAATCATGTTATTTACTGGAGAATCTGGAGTACTGGAAAGATACCCCGAGTTCATGGTGTGTGCACCCTGCAAGTTGTGAGGACACAAGCCTTGAAATTTTGCTCACCAGCAATCCTCCAAAATTATCTTAGTTTGCCTTTTGCCCTCCCACCAGCATATGCAGAACGAACCCTTGGATGTGTGTGATAAAGCAGTGCCCTTATTGCTTGGTTCTCTTCCTTTTGTCAGCTGACTCTTTAGGAATCTGAAAACAGGAAGAGAAGTTGTAAAAGCAGAAGGGGCAAACCTGGTGCCCAGGGGAGCTCCCAGTCTCTCTCTGCAACACAAGTACAAAGTATTAACCTTGCCCGCTGTATGACAAGCTGTACAAAGTGCATGTGTCTGGGGAAGTGTGACTGACAGTCTTTTATGAAGGGCTGTGTTTGAAAATTTGTTCTGGATGGTGACCTCTGCATTTCTGTAGCTTCATACTTGAACAGATGTCAATTCACAGGACAGGATCAAGGTTCTTTATGTTCTTAAGCGTCTATTTGTTTTTTGTTAGGCTGCAGGGTATGCCTAAGTATAGATCAGGACTGAAAAACTTCCCTCTCTAGTTTAAAAGTATGCATCCTAAGAAGCGTACACAAGGTGGAAATCAGCTGGGAAACATACAAAAATGCTGACTTCTTTAATACAGTGGCAAGGTTAGCAACGCAGCCTTAGAGAAGCAAGGCTTAATTAGTACAGGCCTCCTGAAAACAGTGCATCTTCAACAGGAGTGAAAGAGATGAGGTAGTGGAACATCTCACTTATTCAACGCCACTGCAAGCACAAAAGGCTTCAAAATGGCAAAAAGCAGAAGAAACTTAGTGCAAGCTCTTGTCTTACGGAAAGGTGAAATCAGACCCTCTGCCCCCACAACCTGGTGCAGTGTCATAGCCATGCAGGCTGGACTCCCGCCCAGCCAAAGAGCTGACCCCAGTTAATACACAGAAGGTTCTGACTTTGCTTACATGGCCACTGCTAATTTTATAACTATAAGGATCAATTTTACAAATGAGTGACTCATTTCAGCTGACAAGTTATGTATGATTAATAAGCAACATCAGAAAAAGATGTTTAATAGTTTAATGCCTTTAAGCACAATGCAAAACTGTTTAATGATACAAATTAAAACTGCTGTAAGATCTCTGTAACTATACATTTTAAAATTTTAAATTACATTACTTTGATCATTTGAGCTCTAATGCTGAAAGATACTGGACACCTCTTAAAAGTTCTGTGGTTGACTTCAACTTCTAAGTAATTAGGAGACTTTGAGGACAGTTTCATATTCTACAACACAGAGGCAGAACTTGGCAAGCAGCAATGTTATGAAACAAACTCATTTGAAAAACAAACTCTACAGAAACCCAAAATATCATTAGCAAATCCAAGCATTAAAATAGAAGCCTGAATCTTAACAAAATATAAGGCTGAACCCTAAAATTTATCTGAACCATATTTAGCATTGCACCAGTAATAAATAACAGATTAGGCAAAACTCACTTCTTTAATAATATTCTAAGGCTATAGTGTACAAATAGAGTTTGAAATTAAGTGAATTGACAACAACCTGGTTGCTTTTAGTGTGTTTAGGCATCCAGATCTGTTTATCTGTTTTGCTCCAAAATCCTAAATATAAATTAATTTGGAGACTCTCAATTTCCAAAGAACTCTTTTTCTAAGTCTGTGGAACGTGGCATTTAATATGTGATGCAAAACAAGCAGCTGCCTTCTACTCACAAAATATAAAGTAAGCTGAGCACAACATTAAGAATTTGCTGATACTGTTCAAACGGTGCCAGATTACAAGTATTTTTACAAAATAATAAGTCTAAACCTCTAACTCAAATGTATTTTTCACATTCCCAAAGGGTTAATATTGTCTTGCTTCATTTCTTACATGTAAGTAATTTAGCTCTGAACAAAAGCAGCTCCCTGCTGGTTACCTTGGCTAAAGGAAACACAATGAACTGGTAAAAACCAGTTTTATCTCACTGCCGTTGCCTAGGGCTACAGACAAAATGAAGTAAAAAAATTCACATGCAGAGTATTAGGTGCTTATGAAAGATCCAGCAGCGCTGTTGCCTAGTGATTCAACGAGGAATCAGCATAGGCCAATGAGGTGTACGGGTGCTGAATAACATCCCCGATGACTGCTTTACATCTCCTGCAATTCTGTCATACACCCCCATGATTTCCCAGTGGTAAGAATCACTTTCAAGGGAACCTGTCAGAGAAAAAAACACACAAATTTAAACAAACACACACATCACATATAGCGAGATTACTATTTTTGCTTTTCCCTTTGGATGTTGATGCTGCTCTAGATTACATGCCTATCAATATGTCCTTCATACCTATTACTACTTAATTATCACTACAATTTTGATTAAAATACCTTAACAATTCAGACTAACTTTCTATTTTGAAGTTGCAGATACATGTTACTGAATTGCAAGGAATATGCTAAAGCAAAATTTATCTTTTTATGTTTCTCAAAAGAGCTACAGAATCAGAGTGTTTATATCAGAGCTTTGTCAGTAATGCATAAACATACTAGGGTTTTTTTAACATCCACTTTCCCAATTCTGGGGCATTTTTGTTGTTGCTTTGGTTTTATTTCAGTTTGTTTTGCAGTTACTGGTGCTCTGCTACACAGTAGATTTTCTGACATGAAAGCTGCCTCATTAGCAAGGGCTATATATTGGTAAAGAAACTACTTCAAAGATAAAGTATCCTTTCCCTCAAAGAAGAAAAAGAAATCCCTCCCCGTTAAGACTATGCATGTGCTCTACTTTAGTGACATTTTCCCTGTGTATTAATAAGTAATATTCATATTAACAGAGCACATAATACATATTTAGTTGAAGCAAGTGTACTGAAGGAGAGCAGGAGCATTTCATGAAAATCTTTTCATCTCCAAAATCTCTAATCCTAAAAGACATTCTTACTGTATAGAACAGTAAACAACATGAATAAAAATACATATTTTTTTTAAGATCTCTCATTTTTTTCTTTGAGGTCAAGCTGTTGGTGCTTTATAATTTCTATCTGACTTCTGCCATTGATCCATTCATGATGCTTCAGAGGAAGGTGGAAGTATCTTCATGATGCATTTAGTCTTAGATGCAGTAGGAGCAAAAGTATGTCATGATTCCCACAGTAATTTGCTCAGGAAAAGAAGACCAAAACACGGGTAATAAAGCATGTATTTCCAAATACTTCTACTGCCTATTAAAAAGTCCTTGTCTTTCAAGAGCCTATTGTCCAAGAACATATTTCTGTTCACCCAGTAAAATGTAGTTGTTGTTTAACAGAGAATGACACACTGAATACATTTACTATTCATTTTCAAGATGAATTTGTCAGTGTGTGATAGTAAACACCTTAGAGGTGAAAAAGACTGTATTCTAAGATGGTGTGTCCCATTTTGTCCATAGGACATTAAAACCTCCTGCCATTAATGGCTTGTCTGAAATACATAACACTGAAATTATATCCTGCCCATGTAACTATGAACACTCTCATCAACCGTGTAAATTGTTTGTCTTTCTTAGAAACCCGCTAAATTGTTCATTATTTCATGGCAATGAGTTCCTCAGGCCAAGTATGAACAATGTTTTCCCTGGCAAAGTCACCAAAAAGAGTCTCCTAAAACTATCAAGGAAGGGCTGTAGTGTTGCTGTTCACCTTGTATACTGTCAGCAATACCATATTTGATTATTTTAATGAACCTTATAGCAGCATGCATGTCACGTTACTAATACTGTCATTAAAAACATTCAGAGGTACACCTTGAAATACAGTCTTGCTTTGTTTTTCAAGGAATTTGTAACTAAAGAAGTTAGGTAAGCACAGGTATACAATGTAAGCAACCCATAGAAATGCAGTTTATAAAGACTGGGAGCATCAGTGCAAGCAATGTATAACCCCAGAATGGCCAGGTCTCACTTGACCAAATCTGGTGAACAGGAGTACAAGTTCTCACAAGGCTTTATGGAACACTGAGAAGGGGATTCCAGCATGGGAAGAGTAGTTTAGATCTCCCTGATCATGAGGGATACTACTCATGATCCTCTCACAGCTACTGGGGGAAAGATGGGCTCCATAAGAACACAGAAAATGTAACCGCAAGACCTCCACAGAAAGCGTCACAGAGTGGCTGAGATGCTGAAATAAATAGAAGATACAGAAGATCTGGAGGAAGAAATAGGAGCTAGAACTCAACAAGTAGTTTTATTTTTCATCCATTTCCATTAGTGCAAGTCTGTACATTGCAATCATTTCTGAAATAAATACTTTTTTCTGTCCCCAAATCCTGTTCAGTAATAACACTGAATGAGTCAGCTGTCAACACCAAGAACTCAGTTTTCAGGAAACTGGAAACCCTTGCACTGTTGCTCACTTAATAAGTTTAGGGATCCCCAGGAACTATAATCCTTTACTAAACAACAAAAGCTGAGAGGTAGGCTAGGGTGAAGGGTACAGTCTTGTAAGAGAAAAATAGAATTCTTTTATAAAATAAGCACAGTTAGGTCCAATACATAGATAGATACAGTAGTTGTGTAGCTAGCTGCTCAAGTTTTTACAGATGTTGTTTTGGTAGATGTCCTATACTTAAAACGCTGGCCAGTGACTTTGTCTGCTTTGTATTTTAGGCATACACATGGAAATGGTAAAAAGACCAATTTTCTAAGTGAAAATTACTGAAGAAAGATCTTTTGCAATAGTTTTTCAGCAGTAATGAATGCCTGGCACATTTAGAAAGCCTATTAAAGGCACATATTTCTCACTCTACCACACCCAGCAGAAATTTCATGGCAATGAAGGAAATAGATTTTGAAATTACCATACTGCATTGCTAAGACAAGAGTAGATGACAATCACACTTTCCAAAATGGAGCTTGAGTTTCTTTCAGTTATTTTCTTTCAGAATTTTTATAGCCATTTAAAAATGCAATTGCCTTCAAATATGAAAATTAAACCATTGAAGTGAAAGGCAAAATCGTTGTCTCTAGATTCTCAGTAGGATGATGACAACATACAGAGCTAAGTGTGCCTCAGATGGTAATGGGAATTCAGAATTGCCCCTACCTTTAGTGGCACTTCCAAGGCTGTGGTTTGCTGCAGGGACTCCATTGTTCTTTTTACCAGCGCTGTAAGGTAAATTTGAAAACCTACAGCTTTATTTTCCATGATAGAATTGTTGTACAGAAAAACAAATAAATCACATGGCTTAAATTCTGTTATATAACACCCGTATTTCTACATTAAAAAAATCATTAACCGTTTACCATTTTTTTCAGGGGTTTGGGTTTTTCTTTAAGTTCTCTTTTATCTCTCCTGGAGGTTCAATTCCTTATTTTAAATAGAATTTTAGGGTGAAATTTTGGCAGTTACTTAGCTTATATAACCCATAAACAGAGAACTCCAGCACTACTGTATTTTATACAGAGGTACAGCATGTGTGAGTGCTGTATTTCTCAGCTTTCAAGTTCAGTACTCTCAACTGTGTGTTTGGTGACATTTTATACATTTTCATCTTCTTGTGCAGACGTAAAACTCAATCTGAAAAAACCAAGCAAGGAAAAAAAGACTGGAAGTCTGAACTGTTGGAAATATCTTATTCATCAAAGTAAAAGATCAGAGCTAAATTTAAGAAAGTCTTTGCTGTGGGATAGCGGAGTGATCAAGAATCTAAACAATTAAACTTCAGTATGATTTATGCAACTTAACAACTCATCGCGTCATCACACTATGCTCACTATTACTGTGCAAATGCATCTGTAATTGTTCCAAATCAATCAGCTGGGATCAGATTTGTCATCCTTGGCCATGCCAATTAGTGTTTTGTGTGACAATGTTTGCTGCTGCAACAGAATATTGTTCTAATACAAATCAATGAGAGATTCAATAGATAAAGAGTTTTTAAAAAAGCAGTAACTTCCAGCTACTGAAAGTGAAATAGGAATACCAGGGAGCCCCAGAACAGAAGTTATTGAGCAACCTCCATTGCTCTGACAGGATGTCACTATATGCCTCACCGAATTGAGAAGTATCAGAGTATGCAATATGTGGTGATATGCAATACTGCTAGACTGAAACTCACATGAGTACTTAGAAGCCTTTTTGGAAGTTATCCCTCGATGCACATTACATTGCTTTTGCAGCTCAGGGTAGATGCAAAAGAGCAACAAGAACTCTAAGAAGCTGCCTATGGTTGTTGCTCTGGCTGCCACTGAAACCTTTTCTAGTGATGCCATTAGAAATCTCTTCTAATGAAGAACAGTATGGAACATTCTGTGTCACATCTGTGACACTGTGGCTGGCTTGATAACAATGCTGAGGTTCTGCCTGAACAGAAGTGGAGTGCTCAGGCTGCTGGCTCACTCAGACTTGCGTGCTAATGAGCTGTCATAAGATTTTCCATGAAGTTCAAATTATGCAGTAACTCAAAAGATCAATGCCTGAAATGCCAAAGCTGAGGAAACAGAGACATTTGTTGACACAACGTCTACACCTATATATTTGCTTCATGTTAGATCTGAGGCAGTTTACGGTCCTGTAAAAGACATAGTATTGTTTTTGGAGAGCAGAAGCAAATATTGCAACCACAGATTGTGAAAGGGGAAGTGCTGGCCTAAATAATTATCCATTTAAAATGAAGTCCAAGTCAACATGGCTGTTAATAGAGGAGTGTTGGTCTGCTTCCATCTTGAGAAGCCCACTCTGAACTTAAACAAGCTGCCAGCTCCAGGAGGTCAGCAATACAGCCAATGTCAGGGCATTCCAACCACGCATCATGCCTTCAGAAGGCAAAGTATTGCCAGTCAGTCCCTGTGCAAGCATTTTTTCCAGGCTATGGATGCACAAGGCTTTTATGAGAACATAACATCTGGATTCTCTGCTTTTCATACAGAATTACTCAGATCTGTATGTTCCACCAAAGCACTTATGAAGGGCACACTTAACTGTGCAACTTAATGTTATTTGAGCTGTTAGACAGTGAAACAGCAATAGAGCATTAGGCAATGGGAGAATAGGTCTTTTTGACATAAAGAGCTCCAACAGACAACAAAAGATGGAGCACAAGTCAGTGGCATCAATTCATGGGTTGAGATATGAGTGGTATGATAAAGGATGCTGGCTGCATATGCACTGAGTGAAACCAGTTTTCTTCTAGCTCTTTAGACCTCTGACTTTGACTAGGTCTCTCCTGTATAACTGTTAGCCCCAGAAGGGGGCTCATGCTGTCAGTGATGATTGCTCTGTTTGTTCACACAGTTTTTGCTTGAAGGCATCGGGCATGATCAGAATTCTGCGACATTCTTAACTGCTCTTAATTTTTAAAAGCACAAAGTGGCCACATCAGTGAATAAACCTAATGGTTCCTCATTCTCTTTGACTTCCCATCACGACCTCTCTATGGGTTTGTTCCATTTTCTTTCTTGTTTTTTTTCTGTGTCAGTTTGGCTCCCCGTTCTCTTTCTCATGTCACACTGACTTCTCCATCTATTCCCAGAGTTTAGTGGGTGGCATAGTGAAACCATTCATTTCAAGCAATCAGAAGGTTTTTTTTGCTGGCATTTCAGCCTTTTGAAATCATACCTTTGCAAGTATCCAAAACATTTGCCTACATCTACTTTACAGCAGAACTTGAATGAAATAATAAATACATAGAAACAGAAATGGCAGCTGGATTACCAGTCCCATTTAGTAGTCTGCTAATACAGTAAACAGTGAAGAAAGAAGCATTAAAACTAAATGACAGTCTTTGCACAGAAATAAATAAGTAAACTAGCTGAATACATTTAGGCTGGAAACTTAAAGTCCTAGATTTTGGAGATATGAAATTCTGGAACAGTCCCCCAGTGGAGACGATCATTTATAAAAACTCCAGTGGAATGGTGGTAGGTAATTGCAGGAGAGGTCCCCTTTAGTCCTATGTATCTGATTCTCCTGCTACTCTCTCATATCTCCTTGAAAACTCCCCTCCTTTTCAAGACTCAAAACAAAAAACCCAAACATACACAACTGTATCTTCTTTATCTCATATATATATCATAGAGTGTGGTCACTAACAAAAGTGACCACAATTTTTAAATACATCTATCTGTATCACTCTTAGCTTTTCTTTTTCTTTTCTAAGATTTAGATGAAGGCTTTTGGTATAATAATAATTTCTGTTCAGTCAAAAATCTAGTATATCTAGGGCATATAAATTATTCATTTTAAAATGTTTCTTTGCAGCCAGCCATATACTGCAATGACATCTGTAAAATGCTGTTCTCCCAACCTTTGCAACTTACGTCTCAAAACCCTCAGTCAGCAATTACGAGATTTGTTGATTATACTCATCCTGGAATGCTTTGTAAGTGTTAAGAGTGTCATGCTAAAAGATTATGTATAAATGAAAACTGGTGACAGCAAACCAAAGAGGTCATAGAGGAACTGAAATTTTAACATATATTAGATTTTCTTGATACTGACCAGAATAAATATGCTTATTGAAAGCGTTGTGAATAGGAACAAAGAAAAGACACACATGCCTGCTGTGGAACAAAAGCTTATTTGTCCTTATCGAACTGAAGACATTTTTCAAGTTCATTCACCTATGAAATTATGACTCCAGAAACATGTCAAAGCTGGCCAGACACATGATCTATGGAACAGGGCTTTTTGCAAATTGAGAGCTATCTGGAGGCATCTTTAGTTTATGCACCAGTGTTTTTCAAGTTAGAAAAAGGCAGCTCAGGGGACAGAAAATGTCACTAACTTGTGATGACTAGTTCATTTTTTTGTTCTTCTGTTACTTGAGTCCACTTCTCATGTGCACTTTTCTATGCAGCTGCCTTGGTATCCATTGAGTGTGAAATTGTAGCAGAATAAAATAAAATTTCATGGAATTTGAACATGAGTCAAAAATCAGTATTGGAAGACTTAAAAAAATAACCTAAGATATGTTCTTTAGGTAGTAACAATCTAACTGATCTAAATATCAAAATAAATAGCCTTAGTTTATTCTGATTTTTTTCTTAGACTGGTCCTTTTGCTGTTCTTACGTTTAAAGTAGGTATTACTGCTGAAATACATTATACCTGGTTAAATATCAGACAAAATGTTTAAAACTGTATTATTTTACACATACTAAATATAGGAACAGATGCAGAAGTGAACTTCTTTAATTCTATTAATAATGCATTACTATAAATGAGTTCTAAAAAAATAAACCTTCAAAAATTGCCCTAATGCACTGTGATATTGAACTTACACTACTGGAATACACATATTTCTACAAAAATACATTATTGCAAGTACCAAGTTTCTTTCCTTTAATTAGTCTTCTCACTAATGGATGCAATTAAGAAAGCATAGTGACGAGGAACCATCCATAGTAAACACTACCGGCAAAGTTCACCTTTCAAGTCCACCAGGTACATACGGAGCACACATCAGAAGCCAGATTTTACAGTTATTAACTATGGATACCCCTATATGGCAAAAAAAATTTAATTACTCTGCATTTCTTCACCCCAAAGTGCATTCCCCCTTTTAGCAGTAATTTATTCGGAATAATTCAAGGGCAAAGAGGCATTTCAAACAGCATGGAGAGGTAGTCTCAGAAACAGTCTCCATAAAATCAAAAATTGGGTTCTGTAATTCCTGAATAGCCTTCCAGAGTCCATAGAGAGACTCTCAGTTTGATATGGGGACAGTCTGCCTACCTGATTACACACAGTTCAGAACTCAGAGATGCTGAGCTCTCTCAGATCCGAGAGCTTGGGTTTTGGCATTCCCAAAATATCATCTGCCTTTCTGCTTCCTGGGCTGCTGGAGAGCTCAGGATGTGAGGAAGCCAGGCAGGCAAGCTGGCTAGAAACCAGGCAGATTATTGATGGTAAAGCTGACAGTCTTCTGCCAAAACCAAACCAATTTCTGCCAAATGTTTTGATTTGATCTTTCCAGGCACACTCTAATGGAAAAGGACGATTTTTAGAAAGCTCTTTTGCAGTCTTGTTCCTGCCCTAAACAGAGAATTGAGGGAAATAATATGCCACATCTTTGTTGAAAATTACACAATTCAGAGTAGCATGTGCTTCATTGTATTTCAAACTGTGTCAAAGCTTGGACACTCAAAGCCTTGTTACAAATAAATGATGTTTTGCTTTGTCCATTCAGAATGAACCATATGCATACTATAAAACTGTGGGTGATGGCTTCTGTTTGAAGAACGTATTGTTCCAAAATACAGGTAACACCTAACTTAAGTTACATGCAGTACTCTGTGCAAAAGTAGGTATTAGGAAAAAAGAACACCTTATCGTTTGCCCCTTGTTTATGAAATCCAAAAGATTCAAAATCATTGGTTGGGCATACATTATTGGATGAACTACAAACTGGGATTCTGTATACTGAAAAGTACTGAAAATTCTTATTGTGGACTATGAAGTCCTAAACAGGATTAGAGAAAGCATCAGCATTCTGACTGCCTGGCAATGCTCAGCCTCCTCTCAGGAGAGTCTTAGAAGCAGACATTTTAATGTTGTAAAACTATACAAAAGAGACATTTCCATGGGGGAAATGCTGCTGCAAAGGCTTACATTCTGTGCTAAGATCTAATTGAAATAATGCAGTTTATGTTCTTCATTTATAAATCTTAGATTTATTGTAAGATTTCATATCAATTCTGCAAATCAGAAAACTGAGACACACACATTTGTTGTTGCTTTCCTGAAAAAGTAGATAAGAAGCATGACTGGAATCAGAATGCAAACATGCTGAATAGTAGGCCAGTGCTTCTTGGATCACAGTAAATGCAGAAGACTATCACAGCACTGAACAGTAGTCCATTAAAGCCATCAAACACTACTCTTTAGCTTTAAATCCACATCTTTCCCTTTACTGAGCTTTGTGACTGTACAACTGAGATTTCTCTCTGGATCATTAAGCTGCAGGCTGGAAACTGCAAGTCAGCAGATTCTGTAGTTTCAAGTTTCTGAATGGACAAAAGCTGATTAGATATGTAAAGACAAAGCTAACAGCTAAAGAATATCAGCAAATAAATGTAAGAAGAGTAAGACCTTGAAAAAAAAAAGGGAGAAAGATCTTTGGTAAAGGGATGGAAACCATATTTGAACTTTCAAAGCCCTGAAGTGAATTAGAAGCACACACCCTACTGACACTCCTTCTTTGGTTTGAAACTCACATACCTAATTTGTTACCTCAGCAGCTCCTGAATTGGAAAAGATTAGGAGAAAAGAGTCTTCCTATTTAGCTTCATTTGAAAGGAATCTAGGTCAACCACTCTCAGACTGCTCTGTGATGTGAACCAAAACTGTTCACACCAAGGACTGGGGACAATAGGGAGATCTGCTTCATCGCCATACTTCCGACTGGAAGTGATGTGCTGGTGCAGATACATGCTTCCTCTACCTATTCAGATCAAGCAGAAGCCTCATTAATGACACTGAAGGAAGTCACTTTGAAGACAACTTGGATTAGTTCTTTCATTAGTAGCAGATCTATTTGCATAACACAATCACAGAATGGTAGAGGCTTGGAAGGGACCTCTGAAAGGTTCCAGTCTTCATCTGGTCCAACCCTCCTGCTCAAGCAGTTGCTCAGGACTGTGTCCAGATGGTTTTTGCTTATCTCCAAGGATGGAGACTCCACAGCCTCTCTGGGCATCCTGTGCACTGCTCAATCAAACTTATTGTAAAAAAGTGTTTCCTAATGTTCAGAGGGAACCACCTGTATTTCAGTTTGCATCCATTGCCTCTGGTCCTGTCACTGGGCACCACTGGGAAGAGCCTGGCTCCATCTTCTATGTCCCCTCCCTTAAGGTATATATATATACATTAATAAGATCCCTCTGAGCCTTCCCTTCTGCAGGCTGAACAGTGCCAGCTCTCTCAGCCTTTCTTCATGGGAGACATGCTCAGTCCTTCCATCATCTTTGTGGCCCTTCACTGGACCTTTTCCAGCCCATGTCTCTCTTGTACCGGGGAGGCCAGAACTGAATGCAGCACTCAAGGTGTGGCCTCACCAGTGATGAATAAAGTGGAAGAAACTGAATGACTGAAGAAATGAAAAAGGAAAATAATGTCTTAAGTTGGTCTTTATTGCTAAGGGAAGGACATTCTATCACTCTTCTGTTCTGAGGTAAATAAGTATATCTGAAAGTTACCGTAATGCAGAATTTTCTTTTTTGATTTGCCTCTTAGGGCAAAGTAGAGACAAACCTAAAAATCAGTCTTGAAACAGCAGAATGAAACAAATTTATGCCATGAACACTCACGCTTGGCAGCCTGTATTAAGTGAAATGACAATTTCCAAGGTACCTCAGACCTCTAGACTGCCCAAGTCCATTTCCCAAAGGTCACCCTAGCAACTTCAATTACATAGTGATAGCTTTGAAGCAGAACAAGGAATTTCCAGGTACATTTGTTCAGCACACTGCAGGTAGATGTGGAGATATGCAAACTAGGTACACTGTAGTGTGTAGATCAGACATCTCGAGTATTTGAACTGGACTCTTTTCATGTTTCCAGAAAAAAGCCTCTAGTCATCATGTTTCTACAGTGGGATTATTTATTACTACTATTCATATAACAGCTAGAGGTTTTTTTCCATTATACTGGAAAAGTATTAATTTTGCTGAATTTATTAAAAATTATGCTAGCAATGGAGATCAGAATTTGACCCAATGAGGACAGAATCTGTGATTTTTTTATATGTATAAGCAACCATGAATAATTCTTATCTTTTGGGTATAATATTAGCTCTATACTTATAGAATCATAAAATAGTTAGGGTTGGAAAGGACCTTAAGATCATCTAGTTCCAATCCCCCTGCCATGGGCAGGGACACCTCACGCTAAACCATCTCACCCAAGGCTTCGTCCAACCTGGCCTTGAACATTGCCAGGGATGGAGCATTCACAACCTCCCTGGGCAACCCATTCCAGTGCCTCACCACCCTAACAGGAAAGAATTTCCTCCTTATATCCAATCTAAACTTCCCCTGTTTAAGTCTTAACCCCTTACCCCTTGTCCTGTCACTACATTCCCTAATGAAGAGTCCCTCCCCAACATCCCTATAGGCCCCCTTCAGATACTGGAAGGCTGCTATGAGGTCTCCACGCAGCCTTCTCTTCTCCAGGCTGAACAGCCCCAACTTTCTCAGCCTGTCTTCCTACAGGAGGTGCTCCAGTCCCCTGATCATCCTTGTGGCCTCCTCTGGACTTGTTCCAACAGTTCCATGTCCTTTTTATGTTGAGGACACCAGAACTGCACACAATACTCCAGCTGAGGTCTCACAAGAGCAGAGTAGAGGGGAAATTAATGCAAATTGATGTAAAATAAGATATTAAAAACACTTCTATGCCATCTTACAGATCTCATTCAGCACACTATGCTTTCTAACTCTGAAACTATGGCATTTTAAGACATCGTCTCTTTCTGGGTAGATACTGCAATCTCTCATAAATTGTACGGTGTTATTGTAATTAAAACCAGATTTGAACTCCTGCATTTAGAGGTCAAATGTTATTATATTAGCCTAATTCATTGCAAATGCCCCTAATATATTGAACTTGAATATTTTCCAGGCTCTCTGTTTTGATCAGGTGAAGTTCTTATTATGAAGTAATACTCACAAGAGGGATCAGCGATGAAATGAGACTAATATGGCAAATTGTACTGTTTAAATGAACACAACACAAGAAGGTGAAATTATTTTTTTCTTAGATGCTTAGGTTATAATGGAAGATATTTCTTGTATTGGATCATTTAAAATATTTGTGACATTATGCTAACTGTTTTAGCTAAAGGTATTCTTGAGCTTCAAACTAGACCAAAGCTTGCGAATAAACGTTTGGTGCCTACAGGAGTAAATCCACTACTTACTGGAGAAGAGATTCAATAGCCTCCTGTGTGCCCCTGTTTTCTACCTAAATTTGTACCAGATGATGAGACACCCTCTGGCTTAGGGCATAATGTCTGGAAGTAAGCCAGGTGAGAGGATAAAAATGTACACAGGAACTTTTACTAACCCTTAACCTTGAAAAATCCATCATAAAGTTCTCTAAATATAAAAAAAGCAGTAAACTTAGAAATTACAGAACATTATATTCCTCCATTAAGAATTTCATATTTTTTTTATGTAATGGGCCCCAATCATAAGTATTCATATACTTTCCAAGCCATTCTTTTTGAGCTGGTTTATTTCTTTATACCCCTTTTAAACCCTGGCTAAAGCATTATTATTTAGCTTTACAGAATTCACACATTGGATGAGGGAGTCTTGATAAGAAAAGTAAATACAAGTAAGCATGTTGATGAACTCCAGATGAGGAGTGTATCACATTTTATCTGCATAAGAGCCAGTGGTGGAAGACATCCAGAAAAATCAGCTCAGTATACATTTCCTTAATCATAAGAAGCAACATGCTGCTTCTTGTTATATTAATTCTTTTATCCTCTGAGAAATCACAGGTTATAGGGAGAAGAAAAGGTGGTGGGGGAGAAAGAGAGATTGTATTTACCTGAAAATTCCTGGATTTGAGAATCTTCTACTTCAAACAACAACTCGTCATGAATCTGGGCAATTAACCTGAAACATTTTAGAGACTTTAGATAATGTAGGCAAGAAATTTCTAACAGTGTTTCCTATCCATATCATCAACTAATTGCCATATGCACAACTGGTATCTTAAAGTGAGGATAAATGTCCTAAGGAAATGAAAAATTCATTAATGGATTTAGAAGGATTGTCACTCCATACATTCAGAAAACATAAAGGTCGTAACCCCAAACTCTGCTTGCTAGCTTATAAATGTCCTTCAGGGAACTGATGTGATAAGTTATTACTTAAAACCAACGTAATTTGCAGAAAAATGCGAGCAATTATAGAGACAGGCTATGTTTTGTTAATATAGCTTGTTTTTTCAAGTTGAGCTTAAAATGCGGTTGGAAAAGGGTGGTTTTACTAATGCAAATTAGGTCAATAGTAAGAGTACTTGGCTCACTGGTATGAAAATATTAACTCCTAGCTGGCCAGTGACTTGAGTCTTTTTCAGAAAATTAGCTTTTCACTTAAGTGCAAAGTAGGTGCCCTCAAGGTGACAAACAAGTGGGTTGAAGAGCGAAAATGTAGGAACACATACACAACAAGATTGCCTCTGCTGTCAGGACAGATGCCTTCATAAGGGCAGAGTGTATAGCTGAAAGCATTAACATCTTGAAAGCCATGCAACTACATGGACCTCAGCTCTTCAGCTAGGGCTGTTTTGTAATGAATTTATACTGCTTATTTGTTTTCACTTTGTCTGTATTAGATCTGTATCATAGGTCTCTTGCATACGGACGCTGACTTAACTGTTCAGTGCTTACAGGAAGAGCACCCTAAATCGTTGGTTTGGGTGCAAAAGTACTTTCACAATAGAAATAATAAATATATTTGATTGAATCAAGTCCACAGCAGAATAGATACAATCTAGCACATATAATCCCTAAATTCTCAGGAAGGAAAAGTACTGCATATACGATTAGACTGTATTCCTACTAGGTATATTTTAGTACATCTTTAATTATTGTTGGGAGTCTATGTCATGAAACTGTACCACCTATTTCCAAATTGCTTTGTAATTTGTATATAACATTTAAATTAAATGCCCTTCGTCGACTTTTCTTATTACCCAGTAGTGATTCAAGTAAATAATGCTTTACAAATGGCTGAAACATCAATATGGTTATTGCTTAGAACTTTTCACAGCTTTCAGGAAAATATCCTAAGATAGTTTCACACTGCCTTAAATTACAATGTGACATTGACTAACAGTGTGGTGAGCTCTAATAATAGATCTTAAATTATTAGTCACTTACAACACAGTCAGAAGCAGAGTGAAACAGATTAACATATTTTTAATAGGAAATTGGGACACAGGATACAAATAGATTAAAAGACCATGATCATCTTTAGCAAGAGAATACAGTTACATGACAAGATAAAATTTCCAATGCAAGTAAATTAATTAAAGTAAGAGATTTCTTATAATCATTCAAGTGACATTTAAAAAGATATAAATCAGAAATAACTGTGAACATTAAATATTAATATACTGTGAATCAATTGAATAAGTGAAAATAATTACATTGATTAAACCAGTGCAATAGAAATGTGACTGGTTATTATTTTTACCAGAGTAGTGTCTCATGACTTCAGTTAGGATTAGAGCACCATATATTCTGAATATTTGGTAAGAAGAACATACAATATACCTTAAACATTTTATCATGAATTCATCAGAATTTAGGAATGAAGAAAAAAGAACTGGATTTTCAAAGCCACCCAGCGCTGGATCATCTGATCACTTCATCTGCACGCTAAAAGTAAAACTGAGCTCAGGAGGAGTAGGGCTGGACCAAAGATTGGTGCTACATTATGTAAGCAGAAGCAATGTGAACTGAACTCAAAATTGTGTCTGGACAGCACAATAGACGTGACACAACTCTACATGCTCCAGTTCATCTACTGAAAGCACCACAGCTCTTTTAGCTTGGTTCTCTGTCTGGGCTAAAGGATCCTGTTTCTCAATGCTTGTCAGCCTGAATAGGACAGCCTAGCAGCTCGGGTGTTTTGCCAGTGAACTGAAGAACTGCACAGAGCTGCAGAATTACAGCTACCCCATCTTAAACATCTAGTGATTAATTCGAAGTTCAGAACAACATTCTGTCTCCTAAAATACAGAACTAGAAGTTAGCATTGCTGGTTCTCTGTGTAAGTCTGCTAAGCAATGTATATTCAATTGGAAAATAGGGATAAGATTTATCTCAGAGATATGAGATCTAAGAAATAAGTATTCCTAATACACTTCTGTTTTGGAAAGATATTACATAAGTTTTAATTAGTGCTAAACATGACTTCCTAGCTTGATGCCAATAAGTGGAATAGCAGACACTGTTTCCTCCTTAATGTTCATCAGACAAGTTAGATTTTTTTCATCTCTTATCTCTTTTTCTTATTCATCTCACATCAACTTAATCCATTCTACTCCTGCAGATTTACAGTACAAGGCCACCTGTATTTTTTCAGGGTTATTAAAGTAATAATTCTTGCATGCATTATGCTGCCGCACAGAAGGAAGCATTCAATCTGATATCAAGGCAGATAAAACAAAGAATCAAAGCAATTTATACATTCAAATTTCATAGCTTTCCCCATTCCAATGCATGCACCCACCCACCCATTGCACACCTTGAGTGAAAGAACCTTGAAAAAAACCCTGTACTTTCTCTTAACAGCTTAATTGAATCAGCTTCACTTTGAAGGAATATTGAAACAGCAAGCTTCTCTCATTATCTCTTGCTAAAACGCATGGTAAACTAGATTAGAAATTGCAAACCAGGCAGAAACTAGTATCTTCTTTGTTCTACAGATAACAAAAATGCCTTTGATTTACAAGCTAATATTTTATTAACTATTTTTTGATTGCCTGCAAGTTACGCATCATTTTTGATGAATACACAAGTGATTTCTTTCACTGAGAAACATGACCTGTGCCTGAGTATGGCTGCAGTGTGGAACAGAGACACTGCTACAGCCTGCACCTTCAAATGGAGTATTTCTGGGATTGCCACCTTGAACATGGCTTTTGACAACAGTTCAGTGTGTCCAGCACACAATATCCTTCTTAAACCATTGTGCTGCACTAAACAATTGTAAAGAATTTTTTATTCTCTTCCACGCTACATTCATCATTCTTCCAGTTTCCTGTGAATCAACGCAAAGGCTAAAACTTCTCAGGCCTTCAACGGATCCACCCAGTTATATATTACTGACTTATATATGCAAAAACAAACTAAACTATCATCAAGATATTTTTTTCTCAAAGTATTGTACTTATGGGCCTATATTGCCTCCTTACGTATACTATTTCCTAGCACCAGGCTTTGTTACTGTAAAGCAATATATTCCAGATCTGGACCTCTCTATTCTAATGTACAGAATTACAAGTTTTCCCATGACTACTGCAAATGCATTGCTGAGAAATAAGTACTCTATTGAACTGACTTCCACAAAACAGCTATTACCTTACTGGTGAGCAACTGCATTTCTTTACCATTAAAGGAAACATTTTGTTTAAACTGCAAACAAGAATGCTGCGGCATGACATGATGCAGACTCTATTGTAGGACTATCCCTACAACAGAGGGATAGAAGAGGCCAGTAAAAGATAGGAGGAAAAAGAAAAACAAAACCAAGATTTCCATTGTAGTGTTTCTCAGAAGCTGTTTTTTTAACAGCGGTGTGCAGTGTTTCAGGACATTAAAATGTGCCAAGAGATGCTCAAACTAATTAAATTCATGCTCCTTCTGTAGTCAAGGGACCAAGCTAGGCTCTGACTTAGATGTTCTGAATGGATAATCTGGAAAACCCCAGCTCTCTGCATTGACATTGCTGGGGTACCATCTCCTAAACCAGCCACCTATATTGGATACATGCAGGTAGACAGAGGTAGCTTCTGTACATTTTTGTGATACAAAAAAATTGTCTGTTTTAGAACTTAGACTCTTCCCCACAATCAGAGCAAGATGAAAATCTACAGACAGACAGACTCTCCTACTATATAACCTTACACCTTCTTCCTGAAGCATCTGCTATTGGCCACACTCAGCGGTAATGGAGCAGATGGATGCTGGATCTGACTCTTCTTAGAAATCTCCATATTGCCTACACTAAAACGGTATTATTTTTTTTCTGATTCTACTAATACTACCTGTTAATTAATTGTGTCAGTTTCCCCACAGAAGCACATAGATTCCAGTGGAAAGAATGACTATTAAGTTGTCATGTAACTAAGGAACAAGGTTACAATAATTCTGTAGTAACTTTGTAGATTTTCAGGGTCTTTTTGAAGCTGTATCTATAACGATTTCTAATGCAGTGGTATGAAAGCTATAGCATGAGATATAACATGCTTGCATAGATGTTACCTGCATTAACTTGAAGCTACACCTTTCAGTGCTTCCATAATAAAGACCCAGATATTTTGACTTTTTAACATGTTAACAGTAAAAATTCAGCTAACTTGTGAAATCTGTTTTCTCAGCAGCTGCATCATGAAGAGCAGGAATCTGAACAGATGGTTAATTAAAGAGAACAGAATTTCTGCATGTACCCAAATTGTCTTAAAACATGCCAGTCTAAAAGGTGATCCACAAAAGGCTTTTCTAAATAAAATATATTTATTTGGTTTGAATGACCCATAAAAAGGAACACTGTAAAACCTGCTACATCATGCATGTCCATTTGGCTGTGATATTTAAGCATATTAAACATATTTAGCTCTTTCTATAAAGAATAAATCATGTTGACTTGTTCTGGCTCACTGTGCATGAAGTGTTCAGGTAACAGCTCACCATCTTGTGGATACATGCAAAATACTGCTTGAATGCTCAAGGAAAGTCATGATTTTGCTAAGTCACAGCACACCTAGAAATGCAATGTTATCTGGTCACTTTGGGAAGCAGAGAGCTACATACTGGAATGAGACAGCAGCTATGGAGAGCTCATACTTATTTCTGACATACCAATATGCTCTAGGATATTTCCTTCTGCTACCGAAACAAAAGCATATGTCTTTGAAACAAAAATTTTATTCATCTCTCAAGTAGAATCCAAAGTTTTTATCTTTTCCTTGTAATTCTATTTCTCCAGTATTAGGCTAAGGAGAAAAGCTGACTAGAGTTAATCCTTTAGAGAAAATCTGCAACCATATATTGGGAATTGTGGATACAGTTCCAGAGTGATAAGCATTTACTTGAAAATCCTGGATAACTGCTATAGAGGAAACGTAAGTAAAACCAATTATTTAATTCTTGAAGAAACAAGAGACATAAGATTTATGCCCAGAATTAAAGAAAATCATCATACAGTAGCAGCACTAAGCATTACTGATTGTGTTTGGTTGAAGCTACGACTTAATTAAGAAGTTGGTTTTATTAGTATGCCCTTTTATATGAATCTCAGAGATGATAAACAATAAAGTAGTAATGTTTGAATCCCTACACACCTTACAAAAATGCCTCTCGGTTCTAGCATCAAAAACTGAAGCCACTTCCAACAAATGAATCATTTGTGATTTATCACATGAATTGTATGTGAACAATTCCAGGTCACATAACACAATGCTTGTTCCTGGGACGATCAGGGCTGTTTCTAATTTAGCTATCTGTACAAGCGAGCTGCATTTACAGTTCACCAACTCAGAAAATCATTGGGTTGATAAAAGTGTTTGTTCCCTGAGGAAGACATATAAAACTTCCAATTTCCACTGCTATTGAAAAGCACCTGGGACCAAGAAAATAAGATCCTGCCTTTTCCTTTTATTTGCTGGTGGCTCCTCCTTTTCAGATCATTCATTTATATCTGCCCTGTTGCTGAACCCGTCTCTTTAACTAGGCTCCGGACATGCTGGGAAGTATAGCTGTGTGCTTGTGGCACAGGTCCAGTGCTGAAGGAACAATAAATTGGTGAGAAAGCAGAATTGCTGGATTCACACCAAATTACTCAATAGCTCTGCAGACTTGTTAAATTTAATTTGCATGTTATTGGGATATTAACATCTTTAATGACTTTTTGAGAAGCCTATGTAGCACCAGTCAGACTTTGGGTAACATCAGTGCATCTTCAGCTTACAAAGTGATATTTTTTACAGGAATTTCCTCAGGCAACAATTCTTTCACAATCTGCAAGCATCCTTTTCTCTTACCAAGTTTCTATGCATCTGTCACTGCAATGATGTTTTAAACACTGAAAATAACTACAATTGTCCACCTGAGTACACTAAGTACCTTTCCACTCTTGTCAATTCCATAAATCTTTCTTTCAGTTGCTACTGTATGCCTTGATCTTACTTCAGAAGTTTCTTTGCTATCATCTGTCTGCAGGAAACATAATGTGGGGGTTCTGAGAGTTGCATCAGACAGGTAAAAGCTGGCACTTGAATAATTTATGCCAGCAGCACATTTTCAGTAAGCAACCTGGCCATCAGCAGCAGAACAGCATCTTAATTAAAAGACCTAGGTAAAGTGGAAGATGTCTGAAGAAATTTTGATTACTCATTAGTGCTGCACAAAATGCAGAGATGTTAACACTGTTGCCAACAGATAGCCCACACTAATATCAGTTCCTTATCATATGTATTGCTTAATGCAAATTATTTGCAAGTAAATGATTGACTCTTCAATGTCAACACCGTAAGTTGCTAGGCTGGCATTTGAATTAAAAGATGAAGAAACACGAAGAGAAAAATGAGACTGCTATTTGATGGAACAGCCATTGATCAGTCACAGTAGAATATGCTGCTTTACCAAGAGGGCCTCTGTGATCAAATATCATGAAAATGCAACTTGATTTCCTTCCCCTGACTTCCAAATGCAATATCAGAGGCACAAACCACACCTGAACAATCTACTGATGACTACTTGTACAAAAACAAAGCTTCATACCGTTGGCTCAGAGCTTGCTCACAGCTGAACAGCTTATAGTGAATGAAAACTGAATGCCGTGCTGTCAGTGGAGAAGACTGCAAACATACCTGCAAGCTAACTCTGTAAGCTGTAAGGCTTTGTGTAGAATTTACTTTATTATTTTCATTTAATTCCAAGGTAAGGAAGACAGAATGCTAAGTGTTAGCCACTGCTTGGCCACACCTAATAGGATACTGTCTCCTACTATATGGTTCATAATAACTTCTAAAGTATATATAAAAGATATTTCTCTTTGATATGCTGTTCAAAGTGAAAACCCTGTTTCCAAAATTAGAAATTTTAATGGGAAAAAAAAAAACCAAACCTACAAGGGGATGAAGACAGAAGAAAAGATAGTAATGTGCTATCTTTGGAATTAATATGATCTGATGTGATGATAATAGGAGATTGATTACATTTCTCATTTTGGAAGAGCTACCGTGCGTTCCTACAGTTACAACAACAGCAGCAATTATGCATTCACTTCCTTTTAGCAATATTTTTCAAAGCACTTCACAAAGGATGTTAGGATCATTACCCTGGCTTGACTGAAAAGAAAATCAAGAAACAGAACACTGGAAAAATATCTGACTGAATGTCACCTGGCACACAATTGGAAGCACAGACTTCCAAGTTTCAGTCTTTTGGCAAGACCACAGTGGTGCTTTAAAATGCCACTGTCCAACCAGGTGAGCGTTTGCAGAATTCATAAAGGCATTGACTGTGCTTTCCTGTCAAGTCTGGCTTGCAAGTACCTACTAAATATTACAGCAAGGAGTCATTAGTAACTATTAAAAGGCTGTCCTTTAGCAGAGCTATCCAGTTGTTAATGGCTGGCAGGATTTCAAAATTCCAGATTAAAACAGTCTGTCTCTTTTAGATGCCCTTGCAGTCTTGGTCTTTCCCAGGTGTGACATTCATAATAGGAATAAAAAGGACAGGCAGTGATACTTTTCTGATGTCTGATGTAGCCAGTCTCCTATGCTTTCACAACACAAGAAAATTCACCATGTAAAACTTCAATACTTCTCCATGTCAGTGCCTCCTTAGCCATTTGGTGACACTATACCTTTAAAGGAAATAGTTTTGAGAAAGAAAAACCCAAGTAAAATTTTCTGTTGAGAGTAGAAAAAAATTCAAAGCCTTTATCAGATGCAGCATTACTCATGAAAAACTTTGGCTTTCTCAGAATTACTACAAACAGCTTGTTCTTGAACCTAAAGATCTGGGTGCAAGGTAGAAATTGCAGAAGGGAGTATGTTCTTTGCCCTCTCAGCACCTCCACTAGCCTCCTTCACTAAAGACTTGCTCGATTGTCCCAGAAGGCAGCTACTCCATGACTAATCTAACTGAAAGTTACACCAGGCCACAGGTACCGGATTCTGGTTTCTTCATTCAACTCAGGCACCAGAAAGAATTATAATCAGTGCAGAGAATCTCCCCAAAAGGTACAGTGCCATATACCATCATCCAAAACTGAATATACAAATATATATATGCAGTATCTCCAGCAAAGAACCACTTCCCAGATCAGATTTATACCAGTGGGCTACTTATTTCTTTCTTTTCTTGGTTATAGTTCAACTGTATTTTGCTCAAAAAGCTGCAAGAACACTTATGAGTGTTATTCAGAACAAGTTTTATTTTTGGCAAAGGAGTGACTCTACCTTTGAATTCAACACATGCATTTTATATTTGTAATTAGAAATTCCATTTTGGAACATTGATCAAATAAGACAATGCTGTTGTGCATAAATGATACACACACACACACAGAGAGTTTATAGGGTTACATATTACACATAATTGTAGAGTATGTTTGGAAGGCCAAACCCTGTTACTCTGTACTGACCTAACTCCCACTGAAGTCTTTCATACATGATTACTACAGCTAAATTTATGATTTCCCCTTCTGGGTGACAACAGAAACACTGATGATCTGCACTACCTGCTATCTCTGCTTTCATCTGAACTTGTACTGCAAAAAATCATGTTCTGCTGGATTGTTTACTGCAGCATTACAAAAGATGAGAAACCATTTGTTCAGGGTTTTTTTATGCATGTTTAACTTCAAAGTTTCTTTCTATTGCAGCAAATAATAGTGCTCACTGACTCTCTGCACCATCCCCTCCATCCTTTGTAACAGGAAAAGTAGACTTCATTATTTCTGCTACTGATATAAAAATCTTGAGGACATTCTGTGATCTTCAACTATGTGCAGTCACAACAGAAGGGAATGATGATGACCTAGCTTTTCTTTAGCAAAAGAAAACCATCTACAGAAGAATAAAACATGTTCATTTATTTTGCTTGAGCACTGGCTTCCTGATTCCTGTTTTTTTTTTCACAGCCCATTGAATGTTCAATTCCCATTGTACAATTCACTCAAAATTCAGGAAGGATATGATCAGTGGGCTCAATTTCAAAGATGTAGAACTACCACTAAACTAGATCTGACTGAGTTTAAATGGCCCCAGGGCACTTCATCACCTTGGGATGGATTTACAGATCCAACCATTTAAGCACAAAGATATCTTTGAATGTATGAAACCATCCCACAAGTCCTTGCTTGTTAAAAGATTCAGAGGCACACATGACATTTCTACAGCTGCTTAAAATGCCAGAAACACATCATTTCACTAATTTTGTTCTAAAATCAAATAGTTTTGCAGTCATTCATTACTAACCTGGCAGTTAAAGTTGGAGAAATAACAACGGAGGTAAAAATCTCCACCATAGCCATTTTACAAAGATCAGCTGCAGATCCTAAGAAAGAAAGTGATCTGTTTTTAATTTAAAGCATGATAAAGGAAAATGTTCTTCTTGGAACTATGGCACAAGAATGAAAAACATCTGAAGATTATGAATTATAAGAATCTGCAAATCTAGCAGACTCAATTCATGTAATATGTGAAATATCAAAAGAGTAATAAATTAATTACATGTTAATTAAAACCAGAAAACAATAATATGAAATTAGATGTTAATTAAAGGTGACTTTGCCAGTGATGGCCAGGAGTTGAAAGATTGCTTTTTATAAGAAATGTCTGAAACTATCTAACTCTAAATTGCAATGAAAGTTTACCTACCAATCAATTAAAACTTAATGTAATAAAAGGTTAGAACATTGATTCAACACCACATATCCATTTGGAAACTTAATTTTATGCTTTTTCATATTTCCATGTGTATGTAATGTATATTCATTACATTACAGTGTTAAGAGCAGCGGTGCATAAAACAGTGTCATGTTATATAACAGATTACATATTTCTGGTGATCAAGAGGCAGAATGACTCTCCAGGCCTGCAGTTTGGTGAAGGCTCCTGTTTTGAACCATGCAACAGGGATCCAATACATTTTACATAAAGATTTATCAGATAAAATACAGAAACAAGCCATTAAGTAAGGATTGGAAGCCATAATTCTCCTTGTCCTATCAGATATCCTAAATGTACAAGACTACAGACATCTTTTTCACACACCTGATGAATTTTGTATTCTTTCTTCCAAATGGTTCAACTTCCAGAGTAGGGATAAAGAACAGCCATGTGGGCAGATGATAAGGGCACTCTGCTGGGCGATAATCATAGAATAACAGAATATCTCAAGTTGGAAGGGACCCATAAAGATCATCCACTCCAACTCCCTGCTCCTTGCAGGACTACCTGCAACTAAACCATATGACTAAGAGTGTTGTCAAGGTTCTCCTTGAACTTTGCCAGGTTTGGTGCTGTGACCATGTTCCTGGGAAACCTCTTCCATTGACCAACCACCCTCCCAGTGAAGAACCTTTTCCTAATGTCCAATCTGAACTTCCCCTGATATAGCTTCATGACATTTCCTCATGTCCTATCTCTGGCCACCAGACAGAGGACATCAGCACCTTCTCCTCTCCTGCCCCCCTTGAGGAATCATAGAATCACAGAATAGTTAGGGTTGGAAAGGACCTTAAGATTATCTAGTTCCAACCCCCTTGCCATGGGCAGGGACACCTCACACTAAACCATCTCACCCAAGGCTTCGTCCAACCTGGTCTTGAACACCTGCAGGGATGGAGCATTCACAGCTTCCTTGGGAAACCCATTCCAGTGCCTCGCCACCTTTACAGTAAAGAACTTTCTCCTTATATCCAATCTAAACTTCCCCTGATTAAGTTTTAACCCGTTACCCCTTGTCCTATCACTACAGTCCCTAATGAAGAGTCCCTCCCCGGCATCCTTATAGGCTCCCTTATAGGAAGCTGTAGACTGCCATGAGGGGACCCCTCAATTCTTCTCCAAGCTGATCAAACCAAGTGACCTCAGACACTCCACTTAAGTATTGCTCTCAAGACCTTTCCACATCTTGGTGGCTCTCCTCTGGACACCCTCCAATAGTTTGATGTCCTTCTTATGTTGAGGTGCCTCAAACTGCACACAAAACTTAAGGGGGGCCTGCACCAGTGCAGTATCGGGTGGGGAAATCACATCCCTTGACTGTCTATGCTGTACTTGATATACCTCAGGACACAGCTGCCCTTTTGTCTAAGAGAGAGTATGTAAGACATTTAGGAGATAGATAGACTTAACACCTCTTCTTCATGGTTTTCTATGACAAACTGCCTTCTCTAAATCCCATACTGAGACTGTTTTACTCATTAACCATATCAAGTGCAGATCCAGAGCTGATCATTGAGATGGCTACATTTAGCTTCAAATACTTCTCTTGTTTTCCTGTTCAAATATGCAGTTAGGTAGAGCTGAATTATAAATGAAGAATATTATGCTGTATATTGGTAAAAACTATTGAACTGGGAAATACTAAAAAAACATAAAAAAAACTATGAAAGAACTGTGGGAAACCCAGCTGTAGTAAGTTAAAATACAGTCCTCTTAATATTGTCATGTACCAGAAGTTTTCTGCTATCAGTTGGCTGCTACCATAACCGACGTGCAAACTGCTTAAAATAATTATACTATTTAATATAATTATAACCCACATGTGATAAATGCAGTTTAGTCACTGTGATGTTTTAACATAATTAAGAAAGTTTTTACAGTCTTAAAATATTATCTCATAGCTGAAATCCTGAAATTAAAAAGATTGTAGTCTTGAATGAAATTTTTAATAAAATTTGGGAATACTGAATAGTTCTTATTCCTTCCTTCATCACACCTTCTAACATTACATGCTTTGAATAACAGTTACAATGCTTTTCATCAGATTCGTCCTCCAGTATTACTGAACCAACACTGAAATATGATAATCTTATTATTGTGGTACTTGTGTTTTGTAGACAGCCCTGTGACAGCTTTGCCTGAGCTCCAAGCTCTTTGGACAGATGGACATAAGCAAGTGCTGCTCAGAGGCCATGCACCTTTATTAATGCTACACTGTACACTCAGCAGGACTTGCTGTATTAGGTCCAGCATTGTGCCTCTAACTGGAGAGGGCTGCTGGCCAGTTGGATGGAAACCCAGGTACATGGAACACAAGTCTCTGGAGAAGGTGGGACAGGCATGCCCAGTGTTACAAACATGTAAGATCTGCTGCAGATTTTATGAGGTCATTGTAAAATTTGACAGTTGGGTGGCTACTAAAGCAAGGCAGCCATCACTTGAGCACAGTGATTATTCAAGCAACAGGGTGTCTACTAGAATTCTAGATCTGTACATATCCTTGCACGGCCAGTACTTAAATTCGATTACTAATTATAAAGAGATCGAACAGGACAAATACTTAAGTCATTTTTTAAATGAAACATTAAAATTAATAGTATTGGGAGAGGAAAAAAAAAAAGAAAAAACCCACATGATCGTCTCAAAAAGAAAATTCGAATCACTTTTTAAAAACACACCACCACCATGTCTAGAAATCATTTTTTACTTGCCTGTAAATTGTGCACTTCCAACATAACTTAATGAAAACCCTGTCAGCATCATCCGATTGAAAAAGTAATTCTTCCAAGCAGTGGCTTAGTAGGGATCTAAGTCTGCCAGCTCAGTTTCTATGGTTTTCTTTAGGTAGGTATATGCTGTACAGTCTTGTGGTCCAAGCGATTTAAAGAGTGTGTTAATGCATTAGATTAACTAACAGTTGAACACTTTATGCTGACTTTCACATTTCCAACCTATACAGCAAATTTACAATGTTTTCTGTGAAAAAAAAACCCACCTTTTTTCTTGCCCTCTACAAAACTAAGTTTGAATGGTCCTTAGAAAGAATGAGTTGGGTTTCAAAACTAATAATAACAATGTACAATTTTTGCAACATTGATTATTTCTTAAACTAAAACTATCTGGCACAGTAGAAGTTAGAATCTGTAGACAGCATAATCACATAAACCTTCTTGGAGTAACAATCAAAACAAGAAAGGAAAAAGTGTTAAGACAGCAATATATCTGAAACACTGAATTCCAGATACTCTCTCTATACATAGTATGCATGTATACCTGTATTTACCTACACAGAGCACTGTAGTGTATTAGAACACTGATACTGTTATTATTATTATGACACCATTTACTGGCAAATTCCAAGGTAAATAGAATATATCATTTAAACTTCTCTTTCCTAATAAAGCTCATGCCTCAATAGTTGAGTCTCATAGACTAGAGAATATTCATTCTTTTGAGATGATCAGAGGAGTCGTCCACTAAAGCCAAGCACAGACAAAGAGGGAGGTAGGTGAGCAGGATTTTACCTTGAATGACAAAATTGACAGCCTGCCTCTCCGCTTGTGTGCGTAGCTTGTAATCCTGTGCATTGATATTAGGCAGTGGTCTTTTACGTCCCATGATGGAAACCACATAACCTTGTAGGATTTAAATAGAAATTACTATTCTTAGAGTGATTAAAATTAAATTTCATAAATTCATTTTACAGATAATATCAATTTTTGTAATTATGTGCTGCCTGAGTCAATTTCATATTGTGCCCTCTGAAAACAAGCAGAACTTCTCTTATTTAAACCTTAAATGCTTATTGCATTTTTGGTCTAAGAATTACTTCATTCAGAGAATTGGTCCATGTTATACAGGGAAAACTTCTGTTCATTAAAGCTCTATTTTCATTAGGAACATCTACTGATATACCAGCAAACTCTCTCTGTGGGAGAAGAAACTATAAATACCTAGCAGAATTAGCTATCTATCTATTAGCAGCCATAATTAGAGCTTTCTATACAATGAATATTTTACTTGGGAATAGTGAAGAAAAATCAATTTGTAGAATAATTAAATCATTAATGACTATTTCCAAAAATTATCAAATAGTTTTTTTGGGGAAAAAAAAGTTATAACATTTTCTTTATGCGGTGATTTCACACCCCTTTCACAGAAAAACTTCCTTAACTTTAGTGTTCTGGGGTTTTTAGTTTAAAAGAAATACATGAGAACACAGTTAAAGCTTCATGTTAAGCCTAATGATCTATTTTGCCAAAACAACTACTTTGGAGCGCAAGTGAAGGGAGTTCAGAGAGGAAAAGAGATGAGAAGATCCTCATGTCAAAATCACACACACAAAACCTTATCTCAGCTTACCTTCAAAACTAAATTTATTATTCTAAGAAAAAATGAAAAAACATCCACGTTAAAAATGTATCTTTACAAGATCTTTTGTTATACAACTGGTTGCCTTGACTGTCCATGAATTGTGAATAGCTACCATGGAAGTTCAGACTGCCACCATCTCCTCTTTGACAACCAAGGTATGAAGCACATATGGTAAGAAGACCTCTCCAAACTTCTCCATAACTGTTTGGAGACAATATTATGTGTTGTCTGGGTAGGGACAACACATACCCAGACTTATGTGCAGAGGATGAAGATTATTCTGCTGAATTAATACAGCTTTCTGTGAATTACTGTATTTCCAGGAGCACTGATACTAAAAGTACCAGTTTTGGAAGAAAGAGCTGAATTATCTGGAGGTTAGGACACTCTTTGGCAAATCAGTCTTCCCAATTCAACTAAGACTCCCCATGAGGAAGAGTATCTAAAGAAGGAATTCTTGAAATGTTGGATTCTCAGTGAAAAATAGATCTACTGTGATATCCTTATTCCTGTGTGGTGTGTCTGCACAACAGGATCACCCTCACAATACTCATCGCTGATGAGCATCCCCAAATACCATCTTTCATACAATAGTGGCAGAGTATGGGCCTGTGGTCAAAGGTTAATCTGCAAATACATATTTCAATGAGGTCTTACTTTAGCCTTTTTTTTTAATTTGTTGATAATTTCATAAAAAACAACAATATAGTAACGTATAAACTCTATATACACTAACAAAAATACCTTAATCACAAATATTAATATTATTCATATGCTTATCATGTCTAAACAGAGCATTGAACATTCATAACATCTAAATAATATCAGTCAAGTGGGTGTTGTTCACCTTTGAACTGCAAATAAGTAAATATGTTACCCTACAATGAGCTCACCAGGTTGGAATGTTTTTGTTGGGTAGTTGGAATCTGAGGTGGATTAACAAGAAAAACACTAAATAATGTCAACATGCTGCAGATCTTTTGAGCTTGTACAACCAAATCAGTTTGTTCTTTTACATTAATAGGTAAGAAAATGGTTGATAGAAAGGGACAAGAGGAGCAGTGAATACTAATTACGCAAGTGTGGTTTGATGTCAGTCAAGGACATTCGTTACAACACTCTTGTCTACTAAGCTCATAAACCAGATTCTTTATCACAGGAGTATGGCTACTGAAATTCATCCACCTTTAAGAAAATAATGCTCTGTTATTTTAACTAGATCAGAATATATAATAAATGCATAATATTTTACTATATATGTTATGCTATCTATTTTCATGACTAGAAGCCAGTTACGTTTTTATCATGACATTCACCCATACAATGATGCAATATTATAAAGCACATTTAGTATTTATTTCTACAGAATGTCTTAATACTGTATACCCTATTAGGAAACAAAAGAAATACATTTTGACAGTTCTGCTAAGTAGCTTTCAAAAGACAGTATTTCAAGCATCTCTATTTTTCTCACCTCAAATTACCACACTCTTAGGATTCACTAAATATAAATGAATGTGTAGACTAACAACAAATAGGATGCAAGAAGAGTTTGCAGCTGCTGGCTCCAAGTAGCACTCTGCACACATCTGTCATCACAGATACCACCTGAACTTCAACAACAAAAATTCTGAATGATGGAAACAAAAAATATGTAAAAAAAAAGAAAAAAGGATTTGTAAATTGGTTCTTTGACTAAATGGCTGAACTTCCATGGTCCAGCAGCCAGGTACAGAATTTATTAAGTAAAAGATTCTTTGGGCTTTTTTGTGTTGGAGTACATTATGTGTCAAAATGATGCAGCACAACTTGACATTAAGGAGAGTTCATTCTGAGAACAGATGTCTTATTCTGTTAGCATCTGTCTGAGAAAAGGCAGACAGGCTTAACCAGTTCTTTCATTCACCAAGAACTGATATTTCATCTTTTTTTCTTGTCCTGTAACTGTCTAATTTGGGTTAAGCTGAATCTTTATTTTCACTGCTGTCAGACAGTACTGATGCGTAAACAAAAATATGTTTACGGGTTTTGGATTACCTTTATTTCGGCATTGTTCAATGGTTCTCTTTGTAAATTCATTTACTTTCCTGTATTTTTGCATAAAACTCTCTATAAATTGACTGGCTTGAAGAGGAGTAATTCCCAGGCAGTCAGCAAGACGTTCTTTACCTGGTGGTAAAGAAATTATCTTTATTATGCAATAAAGCAGAATGGAAATACACTAAATACAATAGCACTACTACATTCACAGTTACTGGAATTAGTTAACTTTATTTACCTCTGTAAAAGGGGACAGATTCAATACTCTACAATCACATTTTAACAAATACATATTTAACTTGGAGCTTGAATGTTTTACTGAAGTTACTGGATTCAGAACATACCCCATAAGAAGTATATAAGAAGTATGTAATTAAGAAATTCCTAATTATATCTACAATGTAGTTGAAATATCTTTTTTTCATAGAATAACTTTGTTGCTTTAAGTATCGTTTTATTAGTTCAGTGTTGAAATCTGCACACTTTGAGGAGTAGAACAAAGAATTTGAAAACCATCTTAAACACAAATGTGAATGAAGATCTAAAAAAGAATGGAGATGTGGCTGGTTCAGTTTAGCTAGAACCTTTGAATTTGTTGTAAAAGCCACAGGGAAACTTAACTGCTGAAGCAATTATAAGAAGTAGCCTGATACTAGAAAGGCCGTTAGGAGTCTGAGTGCCACAGATTTCAAACAGTCATGAGCTCCTCAATGTCTGTAAAAATCTGGGTCCAAGTTGTGAAATAAAAGGGTTGGAAAAAGAAAAGAAAAAAACAAAACTAAAGCAAAACAGAAAAAGCATTTCAACAGAGAGAGAAAGGAATAATAACTTTTAGACAGGATATAGGTGCAAAATACATATTATGCTGGAAGTAAGAGCATTTACAAGATAAGGTGGAAAAAAGCTGAAGACAGTTTTCCAGAGTGTGAAAATATAAACTAAGAGCTACAGTTCAAATACATTTATAAACCAAACAGTTCCAGTAAAAATAAACCATACATCAACATTAGTCAGATGAGGGCTGAAAGACAGATATATTCATGTCAGCTGCACAGCAATGCAAACCCAGCACTGTGTTTGCAAATAACCTAAGTGGAAAAGCAATGCCTCAAGGCACCAAAGGCACAGAATAGATATTGTCACAGTAATACTGTCAAGCAAAATTATCTAGTGTTTTTTACAGAGAAGATTTCAGCCACCTAAATACCATCACTGTCAGTCTGATGTGCATTTAGGAACAATTCTGTAGCATTTTGTTCTCAGTCATGCCAGGATCTGCACTAAGCTGCAGGAACACCAGTCTGGACAAGGTGCTGGAAGAAGAAATTCATTAGACATCCACAATGACTCTTGCTGAGTTATTATAGGTCTGTAATTTTATTTGACATCTAATTAATTTGGGTTTTCTTCCTGGGCCAACAGAGGACAAATCTACCTGCTAAAGCACATGTTAACAGTGAGGAGACTGCTGCAGCTTCCTTAGGGAACTGTAACATCTAAGTTTGTCCATGTTAGCCATTTAAAGAACTATCGATATACAGAACAAGGTACTGCATAATATAGTAGGAAAATTAAGCCACAATATCAGCAAGGAAGTCTGAACTATTCCAAGGAAATGCAGATGCTGGGAAATAAAAAAAGAGAGGTAACCGTGTCAGATCCTGTTTCACAATGCAGGAGCACAGGCCATGTGAAGCAATGCTCAGGAGAGGACTGCAGCTTCCCTCAGCACTCTCCTTGAGTTACTTGTGCCAGGGGAATTGTTAGCGGCAGCTTATGAGTTTTAGTGTTCTCCATTCTGTAACATCATCTTTCAAAACTGAAAATACCGTTAGCTTTCCATTTAAACACCATGACATCCCTCTGTGTCGATTCAGGGCTCAAACATACTGCCATTGAATTGAATTAATTCCTTATTTTACAGGTGTTTAAGTGCTCTGCGCTTTAGTTCTACATGATGACTGTGGCAGAAGCAGGCAAACTGAATTGCTTCAAACCCAGCAAAAGACAGTAATACTGTCAAACCTCTCAAAAGTTGGTGCTTTATTAAAGTGCCAACTCCTAGACATAATGGGACTCTTCTTTCTTTATTATACTACTTTCTATCCCCCAGGATTATAGAAAAGACCTTGAATATATGAACCAAGTACAACCTAAAGCTAAGAAAAGAAAAAGAAAAAAAAAACAAGATCCCTATTTACTACATGAAAGGTTTTCATTAACTCCTGTAAGCATAATACATATATACAGGCAAGCTCCTCAAGGATTGTGCCTGCATTTTGCAACCACAAAAGAAGTGAAATAAATATTATTCACACTCTTCAGTTGCATCAAAATGTATCCTTAATGAAAAGTTAGCCATCTTTGAAAGGAGACAAACTGTGGGTGGAATTCAGCCCATCGGTTTTAGGTATCTAACAAGAAACAGTTTAATGATATCACTCCATGTTATGTCTTAACTAGGATCAAATCACACTGCTAATGAGCTGAAGCATTCAGGCCCTTTACCTGCCCTGTCTGAGATGGAGACAAAGCACAAACAAGTAAATGGATACTTAAATGAAGCATTGCTGCACTGAAATGTTTAGTGTCTGGTGCAGAGCAAGTGAGGGAGTGCCAATACTCTGCTTAATCTAATCATCTAAGTTCTCCATAGTATGAGTAAACAGACACAGGCCCTGTTGAGGGGGGCTCTAGATCCAGTAACTGAGGCATTGCCTTTTCTCCACTGAAAATTCAACTAGTGGAGATTCAGTCTGATAAAGTCAGGTTATCTGCCTGTTCCAACCACAGTGAAAGGAAGAGATAGGAAATGTGCAGCATCTGCATGGACCAAGGGGCAGGGTTGTACTGCCTGCATTTTGTGAAGTACTTTAGTGAATAAAAATTCAGGCTGGAAATGGGAGACTTGATTCCAGTCTCAGCATGGAAGGTCTGAATTTACATTGCAGGAAGGCAGTGCTGGGCTTTTTAAATATAGATGTTAAACACAGATGTTTAAAATGCCATACAGTTTAATGTAAAAATGCAAGTGTGTGTATATATATTTTTATTCTTGTATGAAGGTATATAATCTACACACACATTTCACATAAAAAAGATATTCTGGAGAACTGAAATTGAAGTGTTTTTCTCCCTTTTCCAGCTGAATGTCCTAAACAATAAATTGAATGCCCTTGGCCAGCTCTGCCTTTGGTTCAAGCACTATTGATGACTCACTGCAAAAAGACAGTTTAGAAAGCATTCTCACTCAGGAACCCAAATGTAGTTTTAAGTGCTTCCAAGTTAAATAAGCCTGCATCCTAGGGCTTTCATTTCCTAAACGAGTTTTCCAAATACTCATCTTCTTTAGGGCTTTTGGATTTCTCCAGAAGACCTACATAAAAGTTTAGTTAGCTGCTCACTAGAACAACTTCACAAGTGCTTGTAGGCTGATGAGACACATACAGCTGTGTTCCCAGAAAAGGTAAGAAGCATAAGGAGAGTTGGGCGTCATTTAAGAAATGGCAGGTAGTTTGGGAAAGTACAAGAATGTCCTGACTTATCTAGGACCTGGGCAGGACTTAGGTACAATGGGTAGCTGTGGATTTTTGCAGCTTTTTTGCAGTTGTGAAGAAATGGCAGCAAACATTCAGATCTAAAGTGAGAAAACACTTTTATGTTGTGAGAGTGACAGAGTACTCTCACAGGTTGCCCAGGGAGGTTGTCAGAGTCTCCATACTTGAAGACAGTTCAAAAGCTATCAGTACATGGTGCTGGGCTCTAGAAGTCCCTGTTTGAGCAGGGGGCTGGATTTGATGACCTCCAATGACCCCTTCCAACCTCAGCCATTCTGTGATTCTATAGATGTGTATTGAGACAATATTAGAGCTCTTCTAATTCCACTGAAGTCATTCTCATCTCTGTCTATACACTGACAGAAAGCAAAGTCCACTCAAACTAATCTTAGAGAAAGACAAATGCTTCAGTTGCACCAGCAGCAAATCAATACATCAGAGTAATCTTTGTATATGGCAATGTGGCTGTATTAATTTGATAATTTTGATAGTGGCTAGATAATGTAATTGATTAATTATTAATTTTATCAATTATTTAATCCTTGGTAAACATAAAAATTTAATATTTGTCAAACTTCTATTCACCTTTAGAAATTCAGTCTACTTATATAAATTATGTATGAAGTACATATCTACTGTAGCAGCTTACCTGCTCCATACACCACTGCGTAAACTATACGCTTTGCTTGCTCTCTATCAGCGTGTTGCACTTGTTCACTTGGAATCCCCTTCCTAAACAAACAAACAAACAAACAAATCAACCAACCCTATACATTTTCAGTTAAAACTAATTTGTTATCCCCACAGAAAATATATTTAAAGTCAATAACCACTTAATAACTACAGACTTGTAAGATATGATCAGAAGCACTTAAGGACTGTTTTCTTCAGCCAGGAACGCATAATTTCCTCACAAATTTTGGTGATGATAGCCCATAGTAAATGAAGCTATTCTAATCTTCATCTTCTTTTCTTCTAAATCAAATTCTGGGCTGGGAAAATCCTACTGCTATATTATTAGTTCTTTAGGATGAAAAGGATTCACTATTGACCCATGAGAAAAATTAAATCTTTCCAGCAACAGCATTTCTTCAAGACATGATGTATATAGAGACTCAAAGTGTACGTCTGACCCAAAGCTTATTTAAACAAATATTTTACCAACAGGAATATCCAACCTTTTATCAAGAATAATGATTGACAAAAGCATGCACTGAATCTCTCCAGATATCTTACAGAGCTCCACAAGGATGCTTCATAAAACAGCAACAAAAAACAACTTCATAAAACAGCTGCTTTTTAACTAAAGAGTGTAGCTAGTTTACTTCCACCAAAGTATTAACCTTTCTGGTTCCCATTCACAACTAACTGATGTAAACAGTCCTACAAAATGGGTGATGGATTTAGCAATTTGCAAATAAAAAGCTAAGATTCTGCAACCATCAAGTATGTGCCATCTATGCTTTTCTTTATCCAAATGTAGCTTCAGAAAGAATGCCAGCATTATTGACAATTCAAACACATTTGGTTTAAATGGAAGCGCACTGGGAGAAACCTCGATCATCTACTCATACTCTGAAAACAACTGCCTACATAAAATGTATTTAGAACTTAGAGATGAATTGCTACAAGAGATACTTGAGGATATACACACAATTTGCGAGTAAGCCTGTTCATGATTATTTGGCTGCATTTTTAAAAGCAAAGTTTGCTATGCTTTGTTATGAGAGTGTTTGGCCATGAAAGATGTTTTGTCATGAAAGTCTGGATGACAAGCTTTGAGAAAATGGCATATTTCTGTCTGTCTTCTTCAAGAAGAGCCTTGCACCACTACTATGCTATTCAAGTACCTAGAATATCTAGAGCCACAAATTTTTGCTTGCCTGGCGCATACAGGAATGTTAGCCAAACCTATGCACAGTGCCGATAAAACTAGGCTCTCTGAATTATAAGCAGGTAGACCTTGAGTGCAATCAGATCTGAGCAAGTCCTTATTGCAGAACAGATTTTTTTTTAAGGGAAAAATAAAATTTAATATTATTTAAACTTCACTGGGCAAAAGGTCTTTGGCTAAAGATAAAATAGACTTTACACTGCTCATTTTAGGCTGAGAAACATGAAGAACTGGATAGTCTAATACATAGTGTTTTCTATCTGTAATGAAGACTATTCACACTAAAGTCAATCATTCTATAGCTGGAGACTCTTATAATTTGCCTTCTTAGTTATGGTAGGTCAAAAATTTATGGGTCTTTTGAATAAAGCAGGTTGAGATTCCCAAATGCACCTGAATAAGAGGACAAAGTGGCAATTGGAGCTAATAAGTGCAGAATTAGGAAGCTAGACATCATTAAGGATTTCCTGAAGCAACCTCTGGCAGAAAGTCCACAGGAGTTTCCTGAAGAACCTGGCTTTAAGCTACACACACACTTGAGAAAGCATCTATCCAGAACCAGGAGGGAAAACAGACTCTAATAAGAGAGTAGATCTTACCTGAGACTGTATCTGTGATTAATAACCAAGACCAAAGAATGCTGAAACTAGGGAAACAGTACAAAATGTAATATTGCTTTCATAATACTGCATAATTTGAACTAGAGGCCTGGAGAAGGCAAGAGGTAGCAGGGCAGCAATAGTCAGTGAAGTAAGATTCAAACTGTGAGGCTAGAGACAACTGAGAGCCAAGGGATCAGCAGGTGGATGAGCTGTCGCTTACTTCTTCTCTGAGAAAGAAGAGCTATAACGGAAAGAACACAGTGGGTAAGAAGTCATAGAGATCTTTAGAGGAATATACATTCTTACCAGGTCATGTTACCAAGGAAGAAGCAAGATGATAGTCTTGCTGGGAGGGACTGGTGCTTCTAGAGAAGCTTTAAAAGTGAAAGGAGACACTAGAACTTGGTTATGTGTACAGCGAGACTCACTGCTAGGATATTAAGGATGAACTTGCATTATCCAAACTTCCACTTGACAGGGCTGACTTGGATAAACAGAAATAGACTTGTTGCTGCAACCACAACAGGCAGCATCAGGAGAGGATCTTATGTTTCCATAGGAAGCAATCACAAGAAAACTTTGACTAACAATTATCAGTGCAGATGCACACACATCATGAGATCATGGCAATCACATCAGTCACTTAGCATTTCCTGACCTTTGGTAGTCATGAAATCCATGAGAAGCAATTAAAAGTTCAGACCTTTATGTCAAATAATTCTTCTAATATAACACTTAAAATGGTCAGCCAACACGTCCTAGTGGGAAATAGGAGCACTTGGCAGAAAGGCATTACATCTAGCACTCTATATTGGTAAATTTATGTACCACATTCAAGAATCCGGAATAATAAGGTATGAAATTGCCATATAAATCACAAGTGCTTGAGCAAACAGAACTCATTAATCAAAACTATTCCTTTTTGTTTCCAATGATGAAAATGATTTTTCAGTTTCTATTGACAATGATTGTTTTCTACCTAGGATGCTTGATGCCTTCTGTAATACAGAGTGGCATCCCTGCAGTTTGAGATGAAGATGACTTATTCCTTTGAATAACAAAATGGGGGAAGTGGGGAGGGGGTGCAATTTCCCAGAAATGCAGAAGCCATTTTAGAAACCCTCAGTGAGGCTTCTTGTTCAGCCTGTTTTCTCTACAAACAAAGCTGTATTTGTGATAATTAACTTGTTTTAATGTGTACCATAAGAACCTATTTAAATTTAAAAACTTTAAGTCTGGCTTTGGACTCATCATGAAATACCATGGTACTGAAAAGGAGACGCTGTTATCTGCCTACTTGTGTAAGAATTTTCTGAGCTACAATCACTAAGCAAGCTATGAAAAGCATGAAAATACTTACTGTTGAATTCTGGTATGATGTAAAATAGATCTATAGTAGAGATGCACTGTTTCCAAATGAACCTGAAAAAGGAAGCTGAATGGGCATAAAAAAGCCTTAATTGTTGGGCCCAGACAGTGACACCTAGGCAGATTTCATCTCACCCAATACTGTATGCACATCTGGTGGAACTGGATGAAAGCTTATATGGTGTAAGAGAAATTGATGCAAAAAAAGGGTTCAAGGGAAGAAACAATTTGCTGTGGTTCTGTTGTGGAAATAGCATGATTTCTGAAGTCCTGCAGATAATACATATGCAGTTATTAGTTCTAACATGAAAAGTATTTTTCCATTTTATGATATCCTTCTCATTAGTCTTTCAAACACACTGTTCAAGTTTGCAATCAATATAATCATCATCCTCAAATCCCTCCTGACTTGCCATCTCTAAATGTGCAATATTTCACCTCCTACATTCTTGCCCTTGCCTGCCTACTTGTCTCAGTCTACTTCCACATCTCTAATTTGTTTTCCCTTTACCTTTCTTCATTTAGTACAGGTTTGCAGGTACTTTGCTTTATAGTACTTTACTCGATACACATCTATTAGGTGGAATAAAGAATGGACTTCAGCGCTGCAAGACATGTTCAAGTTAAGAAATTTCATTACTCCTGGAAGGAATTAGCAGAGCTAAACGATCTGGAAAGGCCTGTGAGGACACCAAAACAACTTAGAGCCAAAAACAGCAGAGAATCTGACAAAGATAGTGAGAGTAGAGATATATAAAATCTTTAAAAAGGTGGTTCTACTAAGAACTGGGCTGGAAGCCTAAAACGGAATAGCTGCCTAATTCTTAGAGTGAAAAAAATGGAGAAAACATTTGTAGCAAAACAGCGATGAAAGATTAAATTCTTAGTAAAACCATACAGTGCAGTATGAAACTTAAGAACAAGCACATGGAATTTATTACTTTTTCAGAGGTAATATCTTGATTTTTTTCCACAATTTCTCCAAAATAAACTATATATTTTCATATATTAATGAGGTCTAATGGACATCTCAAAGATGCTTCTGTTTAAGTCTTAAGTCTTTAAAACATATGAATACCAAAATTCTTTACACCCAAGAAATACGGCAATCATATCTGTAATTGAAAAGCTTACTATAAACTGGAATAACACATTTAATACAGAGTTCTTGATGGATTTGTTTTAAACCTGCACAGAATATAAAAAAGAAAGGAATAACATAAATTGTAGGACACAGAAATGAGCACACGGAGCATGAAGTACAAAAACTATTAAAAAAAATAAAAAGGCTGTAAGAGCTGCATAAGGTTTGAGCAATGCCAAAATAAAGCTTTGAGAACAGGTAGAAATGGAAGGAAATCAGTCTTGAAAGAATGCGATAAGACATTTCAGCATTTCTGGGAAATGTTGTATGGTGACGGAAGTCCTCTGTTTATGTACAGGAAGAGGCAGAACAAACTTCTCAAACACAATATCTGGCAGTCTTGCATTGCCTTGATCTGCACTACATCTCAGCCAAGCTAAGCTCAGTCATAATAGCCACAAAGCTCTTGGCTGCTCTCCTGCATATGCCAATTAATCCAGGTCCTAGCTGTGAATTGTTGCTGTGGGAAATGAGATGGACTGCCATTAAACTCACTTTAAACATGGTCATTAATGTCCAATAAATGAGTGGATATTATGAGTGAATACACATTTGTTCACCCAACTGCTTTTACAGCTTTTTTTAAATTTCATCAGTGAACTATATAAATCTCTCACTTTTAATCACTTGTTGCTGTTTAAGAGCAGATGAGGGTTGTATATTTTCTAACTTTGTGTCTGGAACTTTGTGCTGGCATACGAAACTGGTACAGACCATTGATGCA